GGCCGCCGCTGCCTCCATGCCGCCTGCGCGCGCCCGCACGCTCCGCTTATACAGGTGGCCCGGGCCGCCAAGAAAGGCCGGCTTCGCGACGCTTTTGCGACGCCGCGCTGCCGGCTCAGCGGCGCCCCCGGGCGGCAGCGCGAGGCTCTGCTCCGAGTACCTGCGGCCCGAGCACTCTCCGGAGGACTGGAAGGACAAGGGACAGGGACAGCCAGCCCGCTCGGGGGCTGCCGGGGCTGCAAAAGCCGGGGCCGAGGGGGCAAGAGGCCGCCAGCCCCGGCCTGAAACCTCGAGCCCAGTTGCCAGCACCCGCCTGCGACCAGGGGTGCCGAGGGCCGTGGGCCAGGTGTAAAAAGTGAGTCCAGTATGTGATGTAGGGGTGAAGGGGACTAGTGCTCTGCTCCTCTCACGCCTTTTGAGCACTGCATGAAGAATGTTAAAAATAACAGAGAATGTCAGTAGTAGCGCGAGCTGTTTACCTGGGAAGAGCGCACTCTACACAGGCACAGCCCGTCCTAGCGCGTCAGGCGAGTCAGTCCTCCCACCTCTTCGGGCTCCAGTTTACCTTTAGGATTCTGGGTAAGGAAACATGCGTAGAGTAGGAAACTTGCGTATTCTAAGTAGACACGAATCAGTTCATTATTATGTATGCATTATTAATACATTATATTGTGGATAAACTAATATTACAACTCCTGTATAAAACTGAAAAAAAAATTTTGGGGGGGTGGTCCTGTGTATTGAACCACGTAGTAGATGCAGCCAGTGCCCTACCACTTCAGCCTCCTCAAACCGAGTAGCAATGGTTCCTGCCTCCTCTCCCTCACCGCCTGCGGCCCAGTCTACAACACCCTCCTTAAGGTCCAGCCTAAAGGCTGAAATTGGGTATAACTGTAGATGTGGGCATTTTAATCTACTATCTTGAACTTATGCATATATTGAAATACTTTTTTGTTGTTCTTTTTGAGACACGGTCTCACTATGCGGTTCAGGCTGGCCTTGAGCTCACATTGGAGCCTAGGCTGGTCTCGAACTTCCAAAAATCCTCCTGCCTCAGCCTCCCAAGTGCTGGGACTACAGGCGTGCGCCACCATTCCAGGCTCCTGAAATACTCATATTGAAAGAAAAACTAAAAAAAAAATGTTTTTTTACTAGCGATGTAAGAAGGGTTATTTTGTTTTTCAACAGTCATTATAACCAGACATCTGTAATTCTTACACAGACATTATTTTGGATAATCTTGGCAAGGGGGCATGGGCAGAAGGAATGGGGGAACCTAGGCCTGAGCCTTTATCCCTGGAGTGGTGGGAAGCTGGCAAGGGAGGAGGCTGTTTCTTGAGTAGGAAGTGAAACATCAATGTCGGGGTCTGTGGCTGGAGGGTTGTAATGGTCCCCGCTACCTTAAAAGCTGTATTCCTGTGACAAGCAAAGTAGACAAACACATGATCTAAGAAAACATAGAGCAATTTCCTCTAATTAGCCCCCCCAACATTATATAGTGGCCTTAACCTTTGAATTTTAGATAAAGGTCTCAAAGCTCCTTATCTCCTCTTTGAACAATGATGAACTCTTCCTGTATTTCCTCTTTCAGGTCTACAACTGTTATTTGGTTGATATTATCTAAGTACTGATTTGTAAAATATGCTAATTTTGTTAATAAACCCATCAGTTTTAAATACTTTTAACCCTGCCCTAGCATTTAAAAAATAAACATAAAAAAAGACATAATATTTGTATTATCATCTACCTTTAGATCACTTCTTGGCCTTTTGGCTAAGATCAAATGTGTCTTTCGAATTACGTTTTAATATATACATTGCGTTCTGTGGCAATAATACTACATTTTAGTTTTGGCCTTTCTATTGATTAAATATTCAATAAAAGGCCAATACTTTTACTTTGATTGAATATGCAGTGTACTCAATTGCCAGTTTTTTTTCCCATTATACATTTTCCAAGAATGGTTCATACTGCCTGAATGAGATGGCATATATGCCTGAATGATATATATATCTTACATGACAAAGTATTGGCTCCATATGATAGTTTGGCTGGGAGCCCAGTTTGTTTGAACCCTTTCAGAAAACATGGGCACTTCTGGCTTTATTGGTCCTGCCTTCCCAAAGCAGAACTGGGAAAACTCCTAGCACCCCAGCAAAGGGGCACAGAACCTTGGCCTCTTTCAGATGTTTCTGGAAAAGACTTCTCACTTGAACTCAGCACTTCAAGAGGCCAAAGCAGAATCCTTCCGCCGTTCTCTTTGCGTGGGTAGGGCATTCTTTGTGGTGGCTTTCCGTGGTTCCTGCTACAGGAGTGGCACTGGTGGTGGCACCGAGGCTGGAGCACTTTCCTCTGGGGCACGGTGTGGCAAGAGGGGGTTACCAGCTGCCTCTGCACCCCGTTCTAAAGCATGGTGTTACAACTGCTCCTGGAATCTCGTCCTGTCAGCTAACCCGAATATCTCCAAAAACAACTCTTCCCACTTAGTTTCTGTTGTTTGCAAACTGTAGACTGGGGGCCAAATCAGACATATTGCCCATAATGATTATACGGTTAAACCAATACAAATATTGTATACTCTTCTGTGAATATTTTAGGAAATTCAAATTTTCATGTTGAAAAGTTTTACTGGAACACAGACATACTCCATTTGTTTACATGTTATCTGAATACTTACCCTGATGAACACTTGATATGCAGAACTATGAAATAGTCATATAAATAAGACAGGTCAAAACTGTAACTATAAATAATTTACGTCATTTAGATAAAATAAAGAAAGTTATTTTTAGCCGTTGGGAGAAGTAATAAAACATTAACAACAAAAGACATTTTAATTTTTAAATTAGTTGACCAAATCTAACACTTTTTCCTATTTCAGTACTTTTGGAACATTTTTCAAGGAACTTTCTTTGGCATAGTGTCCACTATTGAGATGCCTTAGGATGACGTGATAAAGTCCTTTTACATAGTTTGAAGCTGGTAAATGTTTGGGCCCTTTTTTAAGAGGTATCCCTGGTCATTTAGTGAACCAATGAAGTTTTCAAAATCAGCAACCTAGAAGAAAACATCAAAAGAGTTAGCCCAGTAACTAAGATGTCAAAATAAGACTTTTAACATTACTCAGACAATAATACACAATTATCGGCTGTCATAGGCAAGTGTAATTATTTGTACTTCTTATGAAACAAACTGCCTAAATTTGAGCTTTGGATTTAATAATGCCCAAATAAAAACGCCAATATGTAGAGAATTTCATATTTGTTGTAGCTTAGTTTAAAAACAAAAATGACACTAGCTTTGGAAATTGAGTGGTTTTTCCATATACACTGTTTTACATGTTTTTTTTTTTGGTTTTTTTCTCCGGTACCAGGAACCGAACTCACGACCTTGTGCTTGCCAGGCAGGCACTTTGCCGCTGAGCTAAATCTCCAGCCCCTGTTTTACATGTTTAGAGTGCTATTGTACCAGTTTTTGCTAGAACCCTGAAGTAGGAAGAGCAGGTAGAATCACGTCTATTAATGGACAAGGAAACTGAGGCTCAAGATGTTAGTATGATTCATTCCCAGGGGCTGTCAGGAAAGTATAGAGGCTGAGTCTTGCTACAGTACTTCCTTCTAGCTGTCCAGATGCTGAAGTCTTTGAGAGGACGTAGGTATGAATCCTAAGTAAATAGAAAATGTTTTTGTTCTAGTATACATTTATAGATTCTTTTTTTTTTTTTTGGTGCCGGAAATCAAACTCAGGACCTTGTGCTTGCCAGGCAGGTGCTTATGCCACTGACCTATATCCCCAGCCCTTTTTTTTTGTCTTTTTGAGACAGTTTCACTATGCAGTGCAGGCTGGCCTTGAACTCACTTTATAGCCCAGGCTGGTCTTGAACTCACAGCAATCCTCCTGTCTCAGCTTCCTGAGTCCTGGGATTACAGGCATGCACCACCATGCCTGGCCACACTTATAAAGATTCTTGAAATTATTACCAAAGAAGATTTATTCAGCATTTACGCTATCATACCTGAATGTTTAGCTCTTTGGCAATCTGCCGAAGTTGACGAAATTGAAATAAATTATTGTAAGTTCTTTCAGCAATACTGTTGAGAGCAGAAATAAATCTTTTTGCAGATGACCTGTTGCTCATTCCAGAACCGTGCTGGGACCGCTCAAAATCTAAGTTCCCAAATTCATCAGAATAAGTTCCCAGCATGCTAATTAAAGAGAGGAGAAATAAACATTACCCCATGAGTATGTTTGTCCTGTACTTCCGGGTTACGAGAAGAAAAACTTAGAAGTAGCTATGAGGCTCACTGGGCAAATACTCAAACATGTTTTCAAACACGTTTAGGGAGGGGCCACTGTGAAATTTACTATGGTATGGACAAAAGGGGAATAAAGATATTTCAGACAGTTACTTAAGAAACTCTGAATTTGAAGAGAAAATATTAAAAGACAGTTACAGCATTCATGAAAAAAACTAAATTCTAAGTACAACAAATTTAGTCTTCCCTGGATAAAGATGTGTTCCTATTTCCCAATGTAGCACCAGGCACAGAAGTTTAAACACTCTAGGAAAGAATATGGCTTATGCTAACTATAGTATTGATGGTTAGAGATCATCTTCAGTTCTGCCCTACTTTCTTATTAACATCACCAAGAAAGAAATACACCTCACTGGGGAGTTCTAGCTGGGAGTCTGAAAAACCGGTTAGGGACAGAATTAAGCAGTCTCTCTAATTTGCTGTGTTGCTTACTCCCTGCTTATATACTCTCACAGCCAAATTAATAGGCAAAATGTTATTTAATCAGGAATTAATTAATCAAATATATAACAGTCACCAGCTAGACCGTGCCTTGTCACTATAGAATAAAACATGCACAATCTCCACCTTAAGGAGCTTAAAGGAACAGTCTTAAAAGATTGCTAACAGTAAAGCTTCCCTTTGTTCTCTGAATAGATAAGAGCCTCAATTAAAGAGAACAAAGTACACAAATAGGAGTGAGTCATTCAAAAAAGCCTGTAATGAATGATAGAACAGTAAAATGGATTTTCCTCCCGGAAATATAATATACTCAAGGCTTTTATGAGTAATCAACTTGTGCTTCTTTCTCATAAGCAGGGGGTTGGGACATTTCTCAAAGGCTCTGGGTTCAATCCCCACTACCAAAAAAAGGGAGGGAATCTTATTTATACTTATTTATAATAGGTTATCCCCCGCTTTTTTTTGCAGTATGGGGCCCTTTGCACTGAGCTGCATGCCCAGCCCTTTTTACTTTTATCTTTTTAGACAGGGTCTCGCTAAGCTGCTACATTGTGCAGGCTGGGCTTAAACTGGACATCCTCCTGTCTTGGCCTTCCAGAATGCTGGAATTACAGATGTGTGCCACTATCCTCAGCTAGGGTATCCCATTTAATCCTCCCAGCAGTCCAATAATTTAGGGTTTTTTTTTTTTCTTGGCAGTATTGGTGATTGAACCCAGGGCCTTCACACTGAACTATATCCCCAGCACTTTAAAAAAATTTTTTTATGTTGAGACAGAGTCTCCCTGAGTCACTGAATTGCTCAGGCTGGGCTCAAACTTGTGATTTTCTTGCCTCCGCCTCCCAGAATGCTGGGATTTTAGGCATGCACCACCATGCTGGTGATTTAGAGACTATTCTTATCCCTGTTTTACAGATGAAGACACAAAAATCTTTGTACGGTTAAGTGACCTGCCAAAAGTTACCTAAGCAGGGAGTAGGATATCTGGGGTTTTAATGCATGCTATATTGCCTCAGATTTGAATAAAGGTATGTAAAATGTTTAGGTCCCTTTCTTGTAATAGAAGAGACAGTAATTTCCAAGGGTGGCTAAATGTGGCTGCCTCAGGCTGGACTCTGAGACCCTGGCCCTTCTGGCCATTATACATGACTTTTATTCCCAAAGAGGAACAACTGGGCAAAGCTGCTATACTTGGTCCTAACACCAAGGTCCTAACACTTCATCTTTAATATATTTTTGGCCTTGGAAAAATAAATTCCTAACATTTATATTTTGATTTCTATAAAAGAATATTTTTTAAAAGCTGATTTCTAAACCAGGCATGGTGGTGCACATTTGTAATCCCAGCACTCTGGGAGGCTGAGACAGGAGGACTGCAAGTTTTAGTCCAGCCTGGGCAACCTAGTGACTTAGTGAGGCCCTGTCTCAAAATTAAAAATGAAAATATAAAGGGCTGGGAACATAGCTGAGTGCAAAGGCTCTAAATTCAATCCCCAGTACCACAAGGGGGCAGGAGTTTCCTAAATTATGATGCAGTTGTGAGGAGGAAGCCTTCGGGCAGTCATACGGGATGATCTCCAATACACACTGTAAATAAAAAAAGCAATGGAAGTGTACAGGGTGCTACCATCTGTCTGTAAAGGAGGAAGAAGAATATGTCTTTGAAAGTCACACAAAAACTGGTAATACCAGTATTTGCTGCCACTAGAGCGGGAGAATTAAGAACTGGTAGCTATTAAACAAGATAGGGGGAAATTTTTTCTGCCACATACTTTTTGAACTTCTGCATTTCGAGCCATATAAATTGAATGAACCTACTCAAAACAATTTTTTTAGCTGCGTTTTTACTGATAAAAAAATTCTATGTCTAAGGTAGATATATATGCTTTATATTTTACCATCTAAAAATCACGACCTATCAAATGATGTAAAATGCAAAGGACATAATTTAGCACTATTTATCAAAACCCCAATGTATTTACCCTTGTACCTAGCAATATTGATGCTTCTGAGAATTTATCACACAGGTATACAACCTGTGTAAATGTGAACTATCTTTTATAGAACATTACTGGTTGTACCACTGTTCCTAATAGCAAGAACACAAAATACTCATGTGTCTAGCAATAGGGGACTGATTAAAGAAACTCTGGTGTATCTACACAACGGAATACTAGGCAGCTATAAAAAAGGCTAGTCTCTATGTCTTAATAAGGAAAGACCTCTGGATACGTTGTTGAGTTTCGAAATGGCAGAGACCAGTATAAATAATATGCTATTTACAGGGAAATAATGGGTGTGTGGACAGGAAGGGCGGGCAGTAAACAGCACACAAGAATAAGCCTTCATAAATATATATTTCTGAATTGATTTTAGAACTGTATGAATGTATTATGCGTTCAAAAAATTTTCTTAAAAAAAAAAAAAAACTCAATATATAAGAGTTCTCCAGCCAGAAATATTTTAAACCAAAAAGTTCGTTCAAAGAAAAATAAACAATCCAATGGGCTACATGAAAGTAATTTTGGTTGGCCTAGTTAAAAGTATAACTTGAGGCCAGAAGATAATTGCTGTTTCACTTAAAATTTTATTTTTAAAAAAATTTTTATTAGTACATGTTTGTCATACACTTTAATTTTACCTGTACTTCATAATTTCCACTATATCCTCAGCATCTTCTTTGGTTGCTTCCTCTCTCAATTCCATCCTTGCTCGGGCCTTTGAAAGAAAATAATCACTTTAAGATAATAAATACATTCCCCACTGTTTGAGCAGTTATGGTCTACGTTTATTTATGCATTTATATAAAAACTGACTTTTGTGGGAAGGAAGCTATAACACTAAAAACCAGAATTTTTAAAAATTAGAAAATTTAAGTGTGTAAGTAACTCACTTAAAAGGTGCCTAAAACTTGCTTTTACCTATTGACATCTTTTTCTGAGAGGGTTCATCTCAGGAGATTTGACTATGAAATACACTTGGCTTTTCCTTGCCTTTTACTTTAAGGAAATCATACCTAGCTAGTTTGTTAAAACACTAAGAGTTAATCAGATTTTAGGAGCAAAAAGCCCAAGTATCTGACTCTGCTGACCTTAGCTACCAAAGATCTCTTAGCATTCCATAATGTGAAAGGATGTGATTGCTCTTAGCAAGTAGGCACTATCCTTGTACAGACCCACTGTGTAATCAAATCAAATACTCAAGATATTTGGCATATTCCAAGTTCTCCTCTACTCATCTTGGAATCCCAGATCCTAGTTAAATAGTCACGTTTAAGATACTCCAGGAATCTCCTGTCATTGAAAGAATATAAAAGTTGCACAGTAAGCAACAGACCCTGTGTCTGAAACGATATACTTGGACATATTACAGATATGGCCAAATTTTTTTTATAAACTTTTATACACCAATTTCTAGTGTTTCTCAGGAGGAAGAAAACCTGAGTCAATTGCACAGGAAATCGAGCAAAAGAGAACTCACACTACATCCTATCCCACTTCTTTAAGCCAAAAAAAGCCTGAATGTGAAAATAAACCTCTGTTAGACGAATCAAAGACTCCAGCTGCCTGGTGGTGATTGGTGAGCTATTTAACCTCTGGCTCTGTTTGCGGAGCTCCAGGTAAAAATCTTGAAGAACCTGAGCAGCTTCTGCTGAGAGCCTGGGGTGGACATACTGTCGGGCATAGCCAATGTACTTCCTCAATAGCTGATGGGGAATTGGGTCTATTGTTTCTCCAGGAACCACCTAAAGGCAGATAGAAAGGCCCAAGGTTATCAGATAAGTAGCATATAAAATCTTCCTCTTAAAATACTTAATTAGATAAATATAAAATCTAACATATCTCCAAGTAAATCAAACACTATACTGTAGCTGTCATTCTAGGTGAATTAAATGATTTCAATTAAGTTTATATAAACTCTAGTATCACAATACTAGAAAAAGTTTTGGTATGAAAGTCTACACACCACTGCTCTATAGTAAGTCACACACAGAACCTTTTTGGCTTTTGTTTTTTAGTTGAATGGTGGTGCTGGGGACGGAGCCCAGGGCCTTGTGCTTGCTGTTCTACTGCTACCGCTACACCACACCCAGCTGCATCACACTGAGCTTCCACACTCAAGCAGAACCAAACTGAATGATCGCGAATAAGCACGTGTACCTTTAGTCTTTCTGATAATGGTTTCTCAGAAACCTCTTCAAGTACAGATATATTTGAATCTTGACTATTCACCCGGCCTACTGTGGCACTACTAACAGCTCTCTGCTTTCCGGCTCTTATTGCAATCACGTGTTCGGAGAGTAGGTGATCATGCTGCTCATTTGGGGTGTCTAACAGGATAAACACCAAGTCGAACCTAGAGAGGAGGGCACTCCCCATTCTAGGAAGCATGAAAAAAAGAAGAAACAGTAGGATCAAAACTACCAGAAAATGTAGAGAACTACTTACTTCCTTGTTTACTATTCAAGGAATAGTATGCACCAGGGCTGGAGTTCAAACACCTACACTGGGGGTGGGGGGGATTATTTTCCACACCAGACTTAAAGTTTTAATTTTTCATATGAGGCACCCTTTTGTCTTTTGTTAAAGAAAAAAAAAAAAAAGGAAGTTTTAGCTTAAAGAAAGAAGCAAACAGCCTTCTGGATTTACTACATCCAGCTACTCCGAACCCTTCAACCTGTGCACAAGATTTATAAGCACTTACCACTGGCAGGTTAAGGACAGGGCCTGTTCTCCTACCATCAAAACCACTGACTTCTCCGTGCTCATTATTGCTAACTCAGCTACATGTTGAGTCAGAACTTATCTAATCAAGAAGTTCTTAAGCTTTTGTGTCTTCTGCCTCATCAAAACTGAATCTCTGTAGCCCATTTAGAGTGAGTAAAGAATCTGACCAAGGCATCAAAGCAGGTTTTTGATACCACTAAAAACCAAAATCCAAGTCCCCAGGATTTCTGTTCACTAGGATCTTTCTTTATAAAAAATTTTTATTGATACATATATGTAGTACATAATGATTACATTCATCATGGTGAGTTGGTACATACACATAACACATCTTTTTACCTCTTCTTCCCCTTCTGATCTTTAAAATATAGCACTTTGTTATTTTACTAGAGGAAAACTAATAGGTTGACATTTTTGGTGGTCATGGTACAGAAATACTCCAAATTTCAAGTGAAATTGTGTATTTTGTAATGTATTAAAAAGACTATATTTGTATTTTAAGTGTATAAATTATTAAAACATTAAGAAACTAGCCATGTACAGTGATGCACTCCTTATAGTCACAGCCATTGGGAGCCTGAGGCAGGAAGGTAACCTGAGCCCACAAGTTCAAGATTAGCCTGGGAAACATACCAAGATCCTGTCTCAAAAAAAAAAAAGTCCACACATGGGTGGCACACATCTGTAATCCTAGCTCCTCAGAAGGCTGAGGCAGGAGGGTTGCCAGCCTGGACAGCTTAGCAAGACCTCGTTTCAAAACTGAAAAAGGAGGTTGGGGATGGGGAGGAGGAATGGATGTAGCTCCGTAGTAGAGCACTTGCCTAGCATGCACCAGGGCTGGAGTTCAAACACCTATACTGGGGGCAGGGGGGATTATTTTCCACACCAGACTTAAAGTTTTAATTTTTCATATGAGGCACCCTTTTGTCTTTTCCTCACTTTTGCATCACTTAAATCTATTTTCCTCTTTCCATACATTTTGTTTAACATCTGTAAAACTAAGAGAAAGCTCATATTTAAGGTATGAAGGCTGTTTTTGGAAAGAGTGGGAATGTAAGTCTGTAACATGATCTCAGTTAATAGGGAAGTGCAAGGGGCTGGGGATTTAGTTCAGCGGCACAGTGCCTGCCTGGCAAGTACAAGGTCGTGAGTTCGATTCCCAGTACTGGAAAAAATTAAAAAAAAAAAAAAATAGGGAAGTGCAGACAGGCCTCTTCACCAGTACCCATGAAGCCAGTTTCATCCTCACAACTGCTGCTTTCCACTACGCGGCCTTCTTAAGTGATTTCTGATTTGGGCAGCGATAATGCTACGGTATCCACCCTACAAACCTATCTTTATGCACTTGTTCAACTATTTCTTTAAGGATTCCCAGAAACAGAATGGCTGAGCAAATGGGATATATATTTAAAACACTGTGACAAACATATCAGGTGCTCCTTCAAAGTGCTAAACTGTGTATATGAGAATTTCTTTCCCCACTCC